AATTTAAGTGAGATTTAGGTGAATAATTAATACCCTAAGATTCCACGGGGACTGTATTTAGTTGAAATCTTTTGTTACGTTTGCAAATGATCTGTCAAAAGGAGATTAACTAATAAGGAGCTTATTCAAGAGAACACGATTAGCCGACAGTAATAGCAGCAAATACTTTCTTTCAAATGCCGGGCTAATTACTTCTTCAGACGGAAGTAGCAGGAAGCGGAAGGTTGAGGTCAAAAGGTTTTTTTTTTGTGGCGGAAAGTTACATCAGTCGATTCGCGGCTACAGCAGCCGTGATGTGTACAATGTCAATTGTGACGCTCAAGGTGTTTACATAACAGATTTGATTTTTCTTGCAGATATCTCTCCGTCCTACTCAGTTTTTCACCCACGCTTAACGTAGAAAGACGAAGTTTTAAATCTCCTCAGCTAGACCTAGAGTTGCAAACAATTTCACACACTGCTTTATCAAGGATAGCCCAGTGGTTACAGTTAGAATACCAAGATTGGCTGAGAGAGGCGCGGGTTCTATCCCAGCTCTGTGCGCCAGTTTCTGATCAGAATCGGCAAGGAGGCCGGGCGGTAAAGCTCAGCAGGATTGTAGCTGTGAGTTGCGAGTTCGAGACAGCAACAAGCTGTGGATGTTCTACGATGTTAAGAATCGGCGACAGCCCTACGGCCTACTAAAATGCTGAAACCGCTATAATCAAAAGCCTCCTGAAACTCGTCATTACTTTCACGCTCTAAATTCTTACACCGCGCTCAGTACGTATTCATTCAACGGAATTCAGCGACGCACTGGCGCTTGCGGATGAGAAAATACTGTCCAGAAAAAATTTGCTTCGTGTATAAGCTTTTACCCGACAAAACTAGCAGAAAAAAGTACTTGCCGCTAACACTAGCGGCTAAAATTTTCCCCGTGTAGCACCTTAAAATGCCTACAACAGGGAGTTGTTTGCAATAACCGAGACTGATAAGAACTGTCAGCTTCCACGTTGATTTCTGTTGCCTCTACCTAGATGGTTGTTTGAATATGATTGCAGAAAAACTTCCAGAGAAGTGCTTCATTTCAAAGAGATGGGAGCTTCCATCATTGAACGTAGCCGTTCAAAATCAACACGATAAAATTTAATAAACAAAACTAGGACAGACCCTGGGTATAGAAATCAACAACTGGGCAGTGACTTACCAAAATGACAATAATGTTGAGATATACCTGAATTGAACTTTAAATCTTAACTCATATCAAATAATAATGTTGCACACTTTTCTGTTATGAACAAAAAGGCTTTGCCCGTTATTTGTAGGCAATTCAAATTAAATCAATATAACTAGCCCAGTTTTACATAAGCCTAGCATGCCCCCTCCCCTCATGCTGTGATTATATTTGGTAGTCAAACGCAGGCATGTGCAGAGAAATTTTGAGCGAACAAATGTAGGGAGCCAAACTTTATACTAGGGACCTTTATATATATATCCTTTCAATTACAAAGGTTGGATTACTGCCGCTTGCAAAATAAATTGTTGAACGTCAATCAACGCCTGGGCTGCTTCGACAGCGTGCTAGAATAATATTTTGCCATGCGACAAATACCAAGCTGAGAATAAACACACTAATTCATGAGAAGCATTGGCAATGAATGGAGAATTCCAAAATTGCAGCAGGACGTTAGGGTCGAACCAACAGCTCACTGCTCCAATCTTAATAACTGTAATCACTTGGTCGCCTAGCTTTTCGCTTGGGTACTAGCTAATAACATTAGTTGTTTCGAGGATGTCAAGCATTCAAGGACTAACTATACCCAACGTTTCTTGTCTTTGTTGATTGGCGAGAGCCAAGCGGCGCTGCTTCGTTTTCCATCACCTTGTTGTCCTTCAGCCATGACACGAAGTTAGGTACAGGGTGGGTCACTTGACACACAAATTAAAGACGTCACTAGTTGCCGCCAATATAATATCGAGATGGAGTCAAGCAAACTCTAAGTTTCATATGAGAGAGAGCGACATGTGGGGCGTATGAGAGCGAGAGACAGTGTGAATGGATGGAAGTCAGACTCATTCAGATGGACCTTCATTCAGATGGAAGTGATTCTGGAATGAGGGTGGAAGGAATGAGGGTGGTGAGATTAACGAAGTATGGTATGAGAGAACAAGTGAAGCGTGGATGGCAATGATTGCGGGTCTGTCTGACGGAGCAACTGTAGCTATACTTGAGAGTGCGAAGAGATACTTGGAACTCGAATGGAGGTTGAGGGAGAGGAGGAGGATAAGAGTGAGGTCTTCAGGAGTGGAGGGTTGAGAGAAGGGAGGGTGGGAAGGCAAAGGTGACCATGCCAAATATTTTAGTACATCGTTTCTGTTTTTTTTGGGATGTTGACATGTATAACTGAATGTTTTAGTCTTTTAGGATTGTAGTGAATACTTATTAATACTTCAGGAGTGGAGGGTTGAGAGAAGGGAGGGTGGGAAGGCAAAGGTGACCTTGCCAAAAATATTTTAGTACATCGTTTCTGTTTTTTTGGGATGTTGACATGTATAACTGAATGTTTTAGTCTTTTAGGATTGTAGTGAATACTTATTAATTGAAGTTTTTTAACTGTCGAGTGGGACGTGAACTTTTAATTTTTTACGCTGGTAAAAGGTTTTTTATGCAGCGTGAATGACCGATGTAAAGGTCTTGACCGGAGGTCAGCACGCACCCAAATTCCAATTCCAGTCTTTAAGTAAAAATTTACGAAAGCACCTGCATCTGCAGTCAAGAGCAAGGAACATAAATGTAAAGGCAGACGACAATACAAGACAAATGTTACATTTGAATCCTACGTAATTGCATAGATTACTCTGTTAAAAACGACAGTCTATTTCGTTTACGCCAAGTGCAACGTCTGGAGAAACTTTCATGGCTCTTGTCCGAACACTTCCAAATAGATGACGTCCTTCCTATGAAAATAAGATCATCAGTTGCTATATTCTAGGTGCGGCCGTACCAGTATTTTATATAACTAGATCGATAATCATTAGCTTTGAAATCAAACGGCCATCGAACCTGATTTGCTGTACCCTCGACCCTCTCAGTGGTAATGCTGAGTCGACTTCAGAGAAGGATCGATGTGTACTACGTTTCTCGCATGCTGTCTCTTCCAGCTCTACGCACATGGTTTCGACATGGAAGACCTTGCATTTTGTAATGTCAAATTGGAGCTTCCGCCACTTAGACCACTGCTATAGAGCGTTCAATTCGGTCTAGAATTAACCGAATCTTCTCCTCTGTGTCGTACTGTGGTTCGGACATGGGTTAAGCGAACTCTGAGAAAAAATTCCCTGCCTTCTCCTTTTAATCAAGTTAGAGCCATTCATTTTCAACTACTCCAGGACCTATTTTCACTCCAATTTACATTCGTTTCTTACCCTAGAATAAGCAAAGCATTGTAAAACGACGATCGTTTCGAAAAAAAACACTGAATAACTTATTTTTTTTTCGTGAAACAAATCACTGTCGGTCATCCGGGTGGATAGCTAGAGGTCAGCATAGCCCAAGTCCACAGTGCTATTCATATACCTTCCCGATCGTAACGCAGCCGGGCATCGTCACGGCTCTTGACAAAGCGCCCACCACAACAGCGCAGTTCAGTCACAGGCCGAAGCGCATACAGGCCGGAGCCCAACTGGCCGGAGCGCAGCAGGCCCTGCCGCAACAGCTACTCCTTACGTAACCTAACCTAACCTGCGCCGCCTGTTGCGGTAGGGCCTGTTGCGCTCCGGCCAGTTGGGCTCCGGCTCTGTGAAGCAGTGGCTGTGTTGTGCAAAGTGGATTTACTGTTAACCGGAGTTACCCACAGCTCATTGATCTGAGGCTATGTGTAGATGTTGCATGCTGATGTTTGGCGTAGGGCCCAGGGCCTGTTTACGAGTCAATTTTGTTAACCACGACTGCGCTCCCGGTCATCCAACATTACTATTCAATTTCGTTCATGGAAGTGTATAACGTGAGTGTATGAAAGTATGACTGAAAATTTCAGTCACTGGCTGGGGGTTTATATTATTAGCAACATTTAATTTGTTTAGCTCCTTCTCAGAATATATATATTATATATACGGCCAGGGATTGAAATGACAAAGTGATCCATCACGATTTATTGTGGTAAAGAAGGTCACAACATTGGCATCCCCATTTAGGCTTTGAATGAGACGGAAATAGAATAGAGGAGACAAAGAATGTTTGGCTAAAGTGAACAATTAACTTATCTGGAGCAAGAAATATCAAGCAACGTGACCTGCTTGATGATGGCGGCCACGGGACAAACTAGGAGACAGGAGTACATAGGATGACGAGGTGTCAGGAACACGTAGTAATAACGAGGTTTCAGGAACACGTAGTAATGACGAGGTGGTAGGAACACATGGTGCGTGCGGTAGCTAGGAGCACACGGAGTAGCACGTAGAGTGGCGAGATGCACGTGGAGTTGAGAGAAACACGTGGAATTGCACGAGGCGTAGCGAGATGCACGTTGCAGGGTGGCCCAGTGGTTACAGTTAAGAGTACCGAGATTGGCGCAGAGAGGCCGGTTTCTGAGAGACCAGTTTCTGGTCAGAATCGGCAAGGTGGCCGGTCGGTTAAGCACAGCAGAATTATAGCAGTGAGTTGCGGTTTCGAGACCGCAAAATGCTGTGGATAATCTGCGATGTTATGAATCGGCGACAGACCTACGGCCTGCAAAACGCTGAAACCGCTTTTATTACTATTATTATATATTCCGTTGCACATGGCGCAGCGGGACGCGCCTGAGGTTAGTCAGGTTACACGTGTTGTTGCGAGATGCACGTGGCGTAGCGAAATAAATTTGGGTTAGGTCATCTTGCAAGTAAAAAAATTAAACGCTCATAATACTATTTATATTGTCTCACTTAATATTACAGGTTGAATCTTCTCCTTGATGAAAACTTTCCAAGTAACACTTGTAGCGAAATCTCTTGGTTGAGCGAAATCTTCATAGGGACACATTTTCAGGGTAACTGCTGCGGTGAACATCATTGCATTTTCGTCAGCGGTGGTCATTGTGGGAGGATATCCGCATAAAGCAAGGTAGTTTGAAACCGCTATCATGGGGGACGACGCAACACGACGACTTAACTCTAAAAAACAAACTCTAGACGACGCTTATGCGGCTCCTGCTAATTTTTTAGAGATCGATGTAATTAATCCTATTACACATGGTATTGGAAACAAAAGATACACCGATTATGAAGTGAGAATGAGGGTAAGTGCTTCAATGCTTCATTACTATATTCTTCTTGATTCTTTATGTCCAGCGTTCTGAATTCATTGCAAATTACTTGTTTTATACTCTAATTCAGTTTCAAACTGATAATAGAATACCTAGGTAAAATTGACTCCAAGCACAGGCATTTTTGTCTCAATATTCATTAATAATAATAGTTGACCTCTTCTAAATTTTCCATTGTGTAAAAGGCTAGGGTAAATAATACTTCTCGACGCCATAACATTTTAGGATCCGTGAATTCTTGTATTTTTGAGCTGTAAGTCCATTTTTTGAGCCATGAATTCCTTTTCCTGCTACCAAGTAGTTTCGGTCACATTAGAGCGGTCAGACTGCTTTATTACATGTTCAGTTGACACTTGCTGTACAATCGGACTGTTTTTAGGGTAAAATTAGTTATTTGGGGTAACACGTGTATGCAACCTTCTAAATAAGTTCGTGGCTTGTAAATAGTTTGTCATTACTCAGCGTAAATGGCTTTTCATTAAATATTACCCGGCGACGCATCTTTAAAATGGCCGGCGGCCCGGCGACGCTTTGGGCTTAAAAAGCCATATATTGGCGACGCTGCATCCACCCTCTGCATAGTGGGCTGCAGCTCATTTGCCAAAATGCAAGTTCATTTAGGCCTACCAACTAGGTAGCCTACCAGTCTACCAACAGTACCAAGCAGTGTTCACATGATCGCATCTTAAGCCTTGTCAAAGTTGTCTCTAATTTTGCCCTAGAATTAGCAATAAGAACATTTTTGCTCCAGGAACTTCAGGAAGAGTCTTAGATGCACATGAATGACATGGTAATGCACTTTCATTTTTTTGTAAAAGAAATAATACTGTTATAATGCAGTCTGACATAACTGCAAGTCTGCAACTATGCAATTGTTGACAAAACGTAAGGTAAATGGGTCTATCCCGACACTTTAAGGACGTAGCAAAAAATGAGTGGCTATAAAAAAATCACCGTATGCGTATCGAGTTCTGTTTGCTTTACGTCACTCTCAAAACACCGCACTACGCGCCAGCAACAATGAAACGTCACAAAATGTTGCCATATTTATTTAAAAGCCTTTAGAATGCAAACCTACCAAATCCATATATTCCGACACTCACTGACACTGTGTGCGACTAAATTTAGCATTTTGTGAGACTAATTCCGGGCTTCTGGCTGCGCTTCAAACTTTACTAATTTGTAATTCTGACACTCAGACACTCTTGTGTCCAAATTCCGATTGCTGTGTGAGCTGTATTGGAATACGACAGTAACGACACAGCTTGGAATTAGAACACTATTGAATATTGAACACTACTTATTTAGGCTTTAATTAAGAGTTATTAAGCTTCTAATTAAGAAAATTTTAATTTTTGCACACAGCTTGGAATGAGGTTTGTGTCTAATTTCAAGCTGTGTTGGAATTAGTTTTTATGTGTCTAAAACCGTCTCTTAACTTAATCATCTATTAATTTTTTTTACCACTTGAAATCAGCAAATACAAGTATACTCAAAGGATTCCTTATATATTCACAGACTTGTTCTAAAGTCTCAAACCATAATATTATTTCTACACAAACAGTTTATCACTATTTTGTAGAGCAAGGTCAACTATCAGTCTATCAACTTTGACACATTTGTCGATGTTCTGATTGTTCTCACTGGGTGACGCGCACTGTCTCTCTTTGGATCTCAACATTTTCCTGCCAGACGGCCCAGACCTAGTGTTTTGGCAATAGTATGGCGCGCAATAGTATGACGCCACTATTTCAACCATCAACAAATGCAATGGAACTAAGAAAAAGCTTAATATAAAGGAAATAAGTTGAGAAGTGTCAGAATTACCCACGATGTCGGAATATACCGCATTTACCCTATTGGGTGCACTGGGCAGCCCTTGCCCCTTGGGCAATATATTTTGGTAGATATTATTAGGTAGGATATTTTTGGATATACTCAGTGTGGTACTGAACCACNTACACATCTAGATGTGTATAAGAGACAGACGTAGTACGGCGCACCGCGTAGGTTGTTAAAATGACAAAATAAATTCCCGCGCACCTGGTACATCTTCCTGACCATGGGGTATATACAGACTGAAATATTTTTTATCTAACCAGAATATGACTTTGGAACTGGGAGATTTCATACCAACCAAAGTGATTTGATTTTACACCCATGATATTTCAAATGAGAAAATAGGATCCAATCCTGGTATTTGACAGTCAATATGGAATATTCAAATTCATTTTTCAAAAGCATGGGATAAAAATGATTGTTTTACAGGTGATTTTCAAAAAGTATTACAAAATTTGGCCATTTTTCTAAATTTTTACAGAATAATTTATTAGATGAACATTAGAATTGGATAAATTGTACACAGGCATTGGCATTTTTGTCTCATTTGTGACTGACTTTGGCCTGTTTTGCCCGTTTGGTTGGAAAGAAATTTTTTCTGTATCATGAAAATGTCAGTGTTGATGCATGAAGTTCAGATGGTTCTTCACACTCTTTAATTTACAGTTTCATCCTTGAATTGCCAAACTCAAGTGTACAATGTTACATATGATTAGTGCAATTATGTTTGATTAGGTAGTTGGATATCTGATTCACTGGAATCTACTGATGCATTAAATTTTATTTTCTGCAGACCAACTTGCCTGTTTTTAAAGTCAAAGAGTCCAGTGTCCGACGACGGTACAGTGACTTTGAATGGCTCAGGAATGAACTAGAAAGAGATAGCAAGGTGAGAATAATGTATTTTTACTTCAGAAAAGAAATACATTGCATATGTTGTCTTGAATTTTTGTTCATTGGTCTTTTTTTGTACCCTTTTCATTCATAATTTAAATTAATTTGATGAGACATTGTAAATTGCCCACTTGTAAGATTTTCTTTAATTGGATTCTCTGTTTGAAAATTAGAGGAAATAATTGTTGTAGAATGTAGTTTTTTTTAATAAGTTCCCTTTTTCTGTTCTCTAAAAGTGCTAGAGCCTCAAACAGCATTGCTCAATTTTTTATAGAGGATATTATTTAGCTTCAATGAATATGGAATGATAAACAAATAAAATGTTATCTAACAATACTTGGCTCCTTTACTAATGCTATATCTTGAATATAATTATTTCAAAAGCTTGGAAAAGTGCTAATCAGTGGACTGATTTCATGTAACTAGATAGGCAGTAGCCCAGTTTTAGTATTCATTCAATCTTGGCAGCCAGTCAAACTTTAATGGCTGAGTAAAACAGCTTGTGTTCATAGAAAAAAAGTCATTTGATATTCTTTAGGCTGTTGAGATATTCATGATACTTGAGAATAATTTCAATAATTTCAGAATTGTCTTTTCAAATAGCAGGGTTCATTTAAAATCCAACTCCCTGAAAATTTGCTGTTGACTACCCTACTCAGACATCTGGGTCTGGTTTATTACGTATAATTGAATTTCAGATTGTTGTTCCTCCCCTGCCTGGTAAAGCACTGAAGAAGCAACTCCCTTTCCGCAGCGATGACGGCATTTATGAGGATGAGTTCATTGAAGACAGGCGTAAGGGGCTTGAGGTTTTTATCAACAAGTAAGTTAGGACTGTGAGTGTTCAATCTTTTATCCAAAAAATGAATCCTGTCATTACTGTGTGATAAAGTTAGCAAAATTGTTAGACTCCTTTCCTTCAGAAATGATAGCAAATGATTTACAGTTTAATCATTATCTGAGAAATATGTCTCAAATGTTGCCTGTCCCAAATATTTTAAAATAAGGATCAAAATATTATTTTTTAATTCATCCCAGTCAGTGTTGACTCATATTTTTACAAGCAGTGTAATGTGCAGAATAATTAAGTTCTTCACCAATGCTGCATGAAAAAAAAGGAATGATTTAAAAGCTAATTCTTTACCAGTAACTGTAATGTGTGCATTTATGGCAAACTGTGACAGGGTTGCAGGCCATCCTTTGGCCCAGAATGAGAAGTGTCTGCACATGTTCATCCAGGAGCAAGTGATAGATCGCAACTATGTACCTGGCAAGATCAGGAACACGTGAGCAACGCAGTGCCTCTCTCTTCTGCCATCTCCTCAACAAGCCCTTGCTCTAGTTTGAGTGAACCCAAAAACAATCTAATACATGCTATAAATTATTCTTACCTTCTGACATTTCTTTATCTTGTTGAGTCCATGTATATTTTGCTGAATATTTTCATTTATCTCATCCTGCAATTTTGTCATAAAAGCCTTCAGTTTCAACTCAATCATCTTTGCTTATGTTTATGCTTGCAGTCACCAGGCTTTCAGATAAGCATGGCCCATTTGAATGATTAATCAGATCACAGCATCATATCTAAATCAACATCGATTAGCTAAAGAAATGTCTGACAAAACTTAAATTGTTGTGGAGGAAATATTAGCTGCTTCAAAATTGAAGCCTAACAGGACTTTTCAAATATAACGTTATGTTTATCTGATTTAATTCAGAAGTGAAGATATTTTGGAAGTGCTTGGCGAGGAGTCCATTGAAGCTCACGCTGAGTTCTCATCAATCAGTAAGGGCTTTAGATAAAGTATTCTGTTTTGAATCAAATTTATTTACTAAATATCATCGAGGAGCTTGTCAATTGATTGCAACGGTATTTATGATTTGTGTCATTCAAGTTATTCATTATTATATAGATTTACCTAAATATTATTTATTAGAAGTAAGATTATATTATTTGCCTCATTGAATGACATTTCAAGGAGATCTGTGGCTTCTTCTGTAAACTCCATCCTTGACTGGGTTCATGCGTTTGGAAATTATCTGCCAACAATCAGTACTACCTGGTATGACACGTCCTAAACACTGCACTGTTCTACTGTAATTCTTTTATTGCGAACATTTAACTTTTCCTCGTGATCAGGTGAATACCTCGGTGTTTGGCCAAAAAAAAACATGAAAATATCTGAGCATTAACCTCTTTTTTGCCAAGAATAGTCCGGCTCCCAACTGGAAGAGCATTTCGGTATATTCCTCTGGGTTTTTCTTTTTTCTGATGGAGGCAATGCTTTTTCGGGGAATTTTTTTCGGCTGCCTGCGATGTTTGCCGTTTGATATTAATTAGTCTCGTTTCCTTGTCGATTACATGTTAATTATTTAATATCGAGTCAAATGACTTGTACTATCTGCTCATTTTGCCGTGTCTTTGATGATCGTTTGAGCGACCAATTAAAAGATTACTTTCTCTCGTGTAAGATTGAGAAATATATACTTATTTGCTTGGCTTCCTGTAGAAAGAATTATACTGAAGCAACTCTAGCTACTCCTTGCTCTTTTTCTGGGCTAAGAACATCTTAACTGCGTTCTCTCAACATTTTCCTCTTAGCTCCTATAGTCCCTGCTCTAGTAATGACTACATTTTGTCTTTGTTTGAAGGGCGAAAACCTGTATCAAATTGTTAACTATATTATCGGCGTATTTTTGTACTAGCGTAAATTAAGCATGGAGTTGCAAGCCTTGTAGTAGTGGGCTATCACTGTTTGGAGATGAATGATGAATTCATGTTTTTGATGTTACCTTCATCTGTGGTTCCGTTCCCAAACGTATTCCATCAATACTAAAAATTTATTTTGTATTTCGTTATTCTACATTGCTATTAATTAAGTAAAACGATATAAATCGTTAAATTGAAATCTAAATTTACTGTTCTGCAAAATTATTTCTGTTTCGGCGACTTTTGCTAGCTCTAAAAATATATAAAAAACTGATTTTTTTTATAGTTCAGAGTCATAATTTTTGTTTCTTCTTGGTTAAACTTTATCTTCTGTGTTTCTATACAATCGATGTATTATTTATTTCGTGTTTCTATGATCACAATCTTGATATTTGTTATTAAATGCTTTGCCTGTGCAATTTTTATGATTGTTTCTATTTTATAGTAGAGTTCAGTTTGTCATTCCTGAAGCCATGAAATGCAAATAAATTTATGATGAGCAATTTGATTATATTTGAAGCTTGTTTTAACACACCTCATTTCTTCATTTACTCGTGAAACATTTTCTTAACTCATGCGTCCTGTAGTAAGTGTATCCGTGCTACCGAACTACTGAACAACAACCAGTTGTCGCAGTAACCAGCAGTTGAGGGGAAGAAGTCCCTTGGCATTACAGCGACCAAGGCTTATTACGCCGCTTATTGAGAATCAGGTTAGCCAGGCGCGCAGCCTGCGTTCAGAGCATATTTTTGTTTGACACTTTGATGCAGATTGCTGGATTTTTGGTGTCTACATTGTGAGGATTGCTAATTGGGGCCTATTTGCCTATGTTAACTATATTTGCCAATGTCAACATTCCTTGGTATGACGGTTACTTCGTATGATGTGGTATGACGCTTTATTGGTACGGTGTGTCAGCCGCTGTCATGTTTGTTTTCGTTGTAATTTATTGCTGTCTTCAAATTAAAGTTTGAGGAGTATGAATGGGAGATTTTCTGTGCCGATTATTTCTGCTGTGCACAGCTTTTAAGTTAAATTGTTTATAATCTAACTTCAAGCTTGAAAGAATCCTGTAGATCTTGCTGCGGGTTATTGTCAATAAGATTTTATTATATACTATTAAATATGTTCTGCGTTGATAATAAATTCCTTCCGTTCCAAACTGATCAGCTGTACAGTCGGGATGTCTAGAAGCAGACAACCCAACTTCGCAGTCAATGAGTCTCGCTATTGACTGAATATCTTGCTTGGATTTATAAATTAGCATGATCTTTTTCATTATTATCGCTCATATTTGGATTTACACAAAAAAATCTGTATGAAAAGTAAAATTTTCACGAAAGAAATTAAGTGTTGATATTTTCTACACTTGACGCTGTGTTTACGTTTGATTTATCTCCATCTTGTTGCGCTGCAATCTGTGTTGCTGTATAGTAGTTGAAATTTCTGCCTGTGTTGACCTTCATTCATTTATTCTTTGTAGCTGTTTAAATCTCTGTTAGCCCAGTTGTTCTTTATGCCGAAGCGTGGATCATTGAAGACGTGAGAGCGGTGCGGTACTAAGAAGGATGGGAGACTGGGATCTCTTTGGGTCTATTAGTTGATGAGTTGTTCTTGCCCCTTTGAGTAAAGCTAACTAATGTTATGAGCCATTGTATCACTTTTACATCATGGAGTTGTTAAGTAAAATGTTTAAGTTTCTCTTCTTTTTCTTATAGTCTTCCAAACTAATTGCAAGTACTGATAAAAAAATTTCACTTAGGACACAATTTCTCCAACGAAATTGATTTTTTTTATCTGAATATCTTCCGTAAAACTTTGAACTACCTACTTATCTATCACGAAAAATTCAAAGCGTGACATTTGTCGGGCTGTGCGTAAATTAAAAGCCGCCCTAATTTTATGGTGCCGTGTACATTAAATACCGCCCCTCTCTTGTGGCGACGTGTGGGTTGAAGGCCGCCGGTCGTTTGAGGTAACTTGTAGGTTGACTGCCGCCCTTAATGAGGTAAGGGTTGAATGAAGTCCTCACTCCTCGGTGACTAGTAGTTGAATGCCGCCCTGCTATTGAGGAGACGCGTAGGTTTAATGCCACCCTACTATTGAGGTGAATGCAGCCTTTCTTCTATTGTTGAATAGCTGACCCACGTGAGAGGCCATATTTATTGCTTGAGACTGTTTTTTAAGCGATAAAATTTGTATTCGGTATAGTGTGCAGCGTCCATGTTAGGTTTTGTTCCTTTGAATTAGAAAATTTCATTACAGGAAACATCCGTTTGGTTTTGTCCCTAGAAGATATCCTGCGCTTTTCTTCAAGTAATGCTGTAAGAACGAGAAAGCTGGAATTCTTTAGGATTTCAGTGTCTTTGTTTGGAAAGATTTAGCATTTTAGTGTAATTCAAAATTCAAAATATGTAGTTGGATGTGATTTGCCACAAAACGTGTGCACATAATAATCATGTACGTCATTAGTTGCAATTGAGCATAAGGGAAAATTTTTTTTGTATAAACAATATTTGCAAAGTATACAAAATATAGCTCT